GTGTGTGTGTGTGTGTGTGTGTGTGTGTGTGTGTGTGTGTGTGTGTGATGACTGTGAGATATCAATCAATCAGGTCTCAAATTCCAAATTAGTTAGGGTCTTTTATGTAAATCCCCAGGAACCATTAGTCCATTACACTCTATTCAGGTATAATATATTCCAATACTAAATAATTTGTCTTTTAAGACAAGAAAATGACAGTGAGATATTTTCAGAAATCGTAACATGAGAAATATGACACAAAAAGTTGCTTCTTTACAAGAAATTAATCATGAATACATACCGAGGTGACAATGACATGGCTGGCTCCTTCTTCAATATAACTCAAAGCATTTTCAGTTCTGATTCCCCCTCCAACTTGCAATCCACCTAGATGTTTCACCCTCGAAGGATATCACCAGAGGAAAAATCTGTAAGTCGAGACATTGTATCAACCCTATATACACTTTAGTATAACACCGAGTACCTGTAATATATATTTGTAGTAAACAGTTTCAAATAAAGTTACACTAAAAGTGGCCAACAGCTTAAAGATTACATGCAGTTACTAAGTGCATAGACAACCAAGTCAAAATGATTTAGACCTTTTTCCCTTTCCAATTTGATTTTATCTTCAGTTGACACTAACATGTAGCAACCAACAACAATCTCCAAAAGCAATATGAAACCAGCTTCAGCCCCTATCTATTGCTGACATTTCTTTTAACTAATACTAATAAATAGTTCTAAAAAGTTCTCGTGTCTTACCAGTTTAACATAATAACTCTGGCTAATCTTTCAACATCTACGGCCACCTATTAGTTTCATAAATACTGGGAATTATGTCAAATAATAAGACAAACATTTATGTATGAGAGTGATACTCATCTATGGCACTTTGATATATCTAAGTGTGACAAAACATCTAGTTTTATGTCAAACATAGTTCTAAGATTGAAATTTCTTATGCAGCTAATGTCATTCAGTCACTGATTATTAGAAATTGGCCTCTATACCAAACAAATATCTGAACTGGTTGTTGTTATAGTGTTTTGATATAGCTAAGGTCCAAAATATGGAATAAGCAAGCATTTCCATGACTCTACGTCTCTACCACCCGCTGGTGATAAAATCCTTGAGCATTCTAGTGGACATTATGTGCTTGTTACACGACAACCACTTAGAGGAAGAGTCAAACAAGCGGGACAATGAGAAGGAGAAATGGAGGTTTGGGCAATAGAAGGATTTGGGGTTGCTCATATTTTACAAGAGATGCCAAAAAGTGAAAACAACCATAAAAGAAGAGAAGGACTGATGCCCTACCAGGGTAAGCATGTAACGCTTCAATTGCAGCTGATATGCTCAAGGGATCAGCACCAAGCATAATTACATGGCCACCTACAAGGTCGTCGTCTCTGTAAAGCTTTGCATATTCTGCAGCTGATTTATCAGATTCAAAATTAGTTACCAGGCTTGTATCTGCCTCCTTAGAATCTCGAAGAGTGGATCCAACAATTTGCTTCACTTTTCCCTAAAAAATGAAATTTTCAAGTAAATATCTTCCTAGTATCTTGAGGAATTTAGAAACCTGTAAAAGTAAGCACCTCTCTGAAAACCTTGAAAAGTAATTAGAGAAACATAAATAGTTTGGTCTCCTACTTATCTATTTGATACAACTTCCCAAATGAGGTATGCTATTACCAGTAGTAATGGACCTTTTCTCTTTTCTTCTTCTTTTTCCTTCTATGCAACCAAAATACCAGGTCCATTTTAGTTTCTGCATTTACCTGGTATGGTATATACATATACTCCGTACTGTAAACACTGAACAATGATGTCACTACAAGTCATTTGCTAAGGCATAACACGAAGGTGGAAAGCATAAAGAAACCCCAATATCATACTCATCTAATGTCATAATCCAACCCATAAATGCAGCGAACAGTTTCTCGAACCTTCTCAAATACATAATCTCAATTTATGACTAAGGGCACCAGGACTTGCATAATTATTCGCAATACAAGCTCAAACAACGGAAGATGTAAAAAAGGAAAAGAAGAAAAAGACCTTATGTATGTCAATGCAAGGGCGGAACCGAACCCCACATTGTATGGATAACCTCTGCGGTCCTGTACGGTATTCAAAATAGAGTCAAATTCATATAGCCTACACAAAAAATTATGCTATTACATCAGACATACCAGATGGAGGCGATGTCATAGCGGGTCTGAAATCTTGCATTCTGTTACTGTTAAGAGTATACGGTGCAAAGCTGAGATTCCTCCCCCAAAATAAGTTTTGGGGTGATGAGGCTGAAGTTGCTGGGATACTTTGCATTGTAAAAGTCAACTTAGCAATGTGAACCCTAAGTTAGTCAATTGAATTATAAACGAACCAAACAATTACATATATACATGTAACACATGATGGGCAGCCGCATACGGAAGAAATCGGGTGAAAGCACGGCCTTTGGCTCAAAGTATTAAAAATTACGAAAATACTCTCTCTAACACATTATGTGACACGATTTCGATTTTAGTGTAATCAAAAGGAGTAACATCTTTCTCTATTTATTTAATCTTAGCATCCTGCAAAAAAAAAAAAAAAAAAAAAAAAAAAAAAAAAAAAAAAAAAAAAAAATTCTTAGCATCCTTTTACCGCATGACTGGTTTGGACCCTCACCACTACTCATTTAAAATGAAAATACACGTGCAACTCTCATCACTACTTGTTCAAAAGGATACTTTTGGTACTTTGCATACATTTGGCTTGCATGTCATAGTCTACTTTAATTCCTTAAACTACGCATTTAGTCAAACACCGAAATATATATTTATACTAATTCCGAACCCATTATTACAAAGAAGAGAAATAGGTGTACTAGTACTTCGCACACACTAAAAGTTTTATGGAGTTGCACGTTCGTCAAGTATAGACATCTAATCTTATAAGTGCAGACAAGAAAGAAATAAATCGAATTCCCACTGCTCCACGAAAAAAAAGTCTTTACATTTCTTATATCAAGAAAAAAAGGGGTCCATTTTTTATAGCAAATCAGGAGCCATAGAAATCAAACTATAAAAGAACCTGTCATTTTCAGACATAAAACTCACAATAATCAAGTGAGTATGTATGTGTGAGAGAGGGGGGTGGGGTGGGGATGGGGGCAAGTAAATCCATGTTCAAACCAATACAAGGAATAAAATTCAGCAAAATAGTACTAATACCAAGTCAATTAAAGAACAAAAAGATAGAAGCTTTTACGGAGAATGGAAAATTTAAGCATAAAATTCAAGATTACTTCCCATCAAGAGTAACAATTTCCAATCTTGCCAATAAAAAGCTATATCTACAAGTAAATCTGACACTTCTTACCTCTCGTATACTCAAGAAACTAACTGTTAAATAGAAAGGTGAGCAAAGGTTGCAACTTTGCAAATAATGGCGTAGTAGGGTGAGTGAAGAGGTTGGTATCGAGTATATGGGAGAAATTGCAGCTGAGATGGCGGCGTAGCACCTCTTACTTAACATGTATATTCAATATCATTAAAATTGAAATTCGTATTCCAACAAAATTTTGCATGATGAATAGTTCTATATTGTGCTTGGTATTAGAGCCATGTGGAAGAGTAGAAATATATGCTAAGTTTAACACAGTTTTCTTTAATGAATATCATTAGAAAGCAAACTAATGTTAAGAATAGTAGTAGGAAAGAAGAGTATGATATGCCCCAACTACTGTTAAGAACAGCATAAAATTCAAGATTACTTCCCATCGAGAGCAACAATTTTCAATCTTGCCAATAAAAAGCTATATCTACAAGTAAATCTGATACCTCTTACCTCTCGTATACTCAAGAAACTAACTGTTGAATAGAAAGTTGAGCAAATATTGCAACTTTGCAGATGGCGGCATAGCAGAGTGAGTGAAGAGGTTGGTATCGAGTATACGGGAGTAATTGCAGCCGAGATGGCGGCGTAGCACCTCTTACTTCACATGTATATTCAATATCATTAAAATCGAAATTCGTATTCCAATAAAATTTTGCGTGATATATAGTTCTATATTGTGCTTGGTATCAGAGCTATGTGAAAGAGTAGAAATAGATGCTAAGTTCAACCCAGTTTTCTTTAATGAATATCATTAGAAAGCAAACTACTGTTAAGAACAGTAGAAAAAAGAGTATGATATGCCCCAACAATTAGATCTTCTTAACAAATAGAATATTCCTAGAATCCAACCTAAGGTTATATACCAACTAGGTACCTTTGAAAAATTAGGTTTAAAACAAGTAGTTAAAACTACTGAAGAGACTATCAAATTGGGCGAACGCACTGCCTTTGGCTCAAAGTATTGAAAATTACGAAAATACTCTCTCTAACCCATTTTATGTGACACACTTTTCTTTTTAGTATATCCAAAAAAATAACATCTTTCTCTATTTATTTAATCTTAGCATTCACATCTTATCTTTAACCGCTTGACTTGTTTGGACCCTCACCACCACTCATTTAAAATGAAAATACATGTGGAACTCTCACCCCTACTTGTTCAAAAGGATATTTTTGGTACTTTGCATACATTTGGCTTGCATGTCACAAGTCTACTTTAATTTCTTAAACTTCGCATTCAGTCAAAACACCGAAATATATGTTTATACCAATTCCGAACCCATTATCACAAAGAAGAGAAATAGGTGTGCTGGTACTTCGCACATACTAAAAATTTTATGGAGTTGGACGTTCATCAAGTATAGACATCTAATCTTATAAGTGCAGACAAGAGAGAAGTAAATCAAATTTTCACTGCTCCACAAAAACAAAATCTTTACATTTCTAATATCAGGAAAAAAAAAGGGGTCCATTTTTATAGCAAATCAGGAGCCATAGAAATCAAACTATAAAAGAACCTGTCATTTTCAAACATAAAACTCAGAATAATCAAGTGAGTGTGTGTGAGAGAGAGGGGGGTAGGGGGTGGGGGGCAAGTAAATCCATGTTCAAACCAATACAAGGAATAAAATTCAGCAACATAGTACTAATACTAAGTCAAATAAAGAATAAAAAGATAGAAACTTTTACGGAGAATGAAAAATTTAAGCATAAATTTCAAGATTACTTCCCATCGAGAGCAACAATTTTTAATTTTGCCAATAAAAAGTTATATCTACAGGTAAATCTGATACATCTTACCTCTTGTATACTCAAGAAACAAACTATTGAATAGAAAGTTGAGCAAATGTTACAACTTTGCAGATGGCGGCATAGCAGAGTGAGTGAAGAGGTTGGTATCGAGTATACGAGAGTAATTGCAGCTGAGATGGCGGCGTAACACCTCTTACTTAACATGTATATTCAATATTATTAAAATAATTCGTATTTCAATAAAATTTTGCATGATGAATAGTTCTATATTGTGCTTGGTATTAGAGCCACGTGAAAGAGTAGAAATATGTGCTAAGTTCAACATAATTTTCTTTAATGAATATCATTAGAAAGCAAACTACTGTTAAGAATAGTAGGAAAGAAGAGTATGTTATGCCCCAACAATTAGATCTTCTTAATAAATTGACGATTCCTAGAATCCAACCTAAGATTATATACCAACTAGGTACCTTTGAGAAATTAGGTTTAAAACAAGTAGTTAATCGATTCTGGACCAGATTGTGCACTTTCAATCCGTGCATGTTGTTCGCCAAGCTATGTTATATCTACGCACAAATTTACAGAGCTTTCCTCCCCGCCAATCGTCATCCCAGAAGCTCTTCAGAGCAGGTGGGCTACAGCTAGACAGATATGGAGTTCCGGCGGTCAAATTTGTACATAACAAATACGAAGTGATTTCTGTTGTTAAGGAGATAGTTACTACCATCAATATCACCAACATCAACAGCCTAATTGTTGTAATTTCGCAAAAACATAATTTGCAGAATCCAACTTTGCAGGTGTTCGACGATTTGCTACAGCAAATAGCAAGAACCAAATTGACATATAATCTATCCAACACAAAGCCCCTATGGCCGTTGACGCAGGAGGCCAATCATCTTCGGCTGGTCAGCGCACCCCAAACCTCATCTCAACAAATATGAATACCAATAACATAAGCAAGCCACTAGACTACTCGAAAATATTGAAACCAAACACTTTGAACAATGCGATGCACGACAGAGCTTCAAATGTTGATCCTATACCCCTTCGACGAGCTACAATGCTTTATGGGCAGCCATTCATAAAATTTACCAAAGCAGAAGTGGAGAGAATGAATGTGATCGAAGGCCTGCAATATGCAGTTGTAGGTAAGCTATCGTATGGTTGGCCAGACTTGCAATAATTATATACAATCATTCCTTGACAGTGTGGAATAAAAGGTGAATGCAACATTGGTTATCTTCGAGATCGGCATGTGTTGATACGATTAACTTTATGGGAAGATTTTATTAATTTTATGTCAAGGAATGCTTATTATATCAAGGACGAAGATGGTTATAAATATCAATTGAGACCGCTAATTTATGATGCAAAGTTCAAGGCCGAGGAAGAAACTCCAAAGGCTATGGCGTGGATTTCGTTTCCTGGTTTGCTACCTACTTATTTCGTTAAGGAATGCTTATTTTCATGGGCCTCAGCTATGGGTAAACCATTGCACCTGGACGTGGCTACTATCAATAAAACATGACCTAGTTGTGCGAGAGTAAAAGTGCTAGTTCATCTTCTATCTGAATTGCTGACAAAGGTTAGAATGGATATTGAAAATGAGGCTATAGGAGAGACACAATCCGACTGGGTAAAGATCCAATATGATATATTACCTAAGTATTGCAAAGAGCGTAAGTTACAATGGCATGATGACATGGAGTGTTAGAGATTACATCCACATTTGTTTGAGGACAGGGGCAATGATAAACAGGATGTGAATGATATTCACCAAAATAAAGTTATTTAACCTCTGATGATCCTATCGAGTGGAAAAGTTGTGGGTAATGTAACTGGAAATATGAAGGAACATTGGAAGGAAATTAAGGATAATCGTATTAAGTTTAGTGCTAATCATACTGGAGCTTAAGCAAATACTGGGAATGAAATAATTCCCGTAAATCAAGGATTAGAGCAGCAGGTACATTTGGGAAGTAGGGTTATAACAATTACAAAACAGAAGGACGTGCAAGTCACTAATGGGAAGGAAACCGTGCCAATAGATCCAAGAGCAAACAAACAGGTTCAAATTGGAGACAAATTTGCAGTTTTAGAAGTGGAGGATGAGGAAGAAGAAGCAAATAACCAGCTTGTATTGGTGGAAGAAAAAGGTTAGCATAGTCATTCAGTTTCAACACTAGCAAAGGGAAAGCAAAATGCAACTCAACAAAGTTAGAGTCAGAAATATAATACTGCTACTGCTGGCCAGTTAAATCCAGTTGCCCCAATGTTTAAGCCTATTCCAGCTGCATTGACTATCACTGAACCACATAACACATATTTATCATCTGCAGTCTCATTGCCTCATCTCGAGGCAGCATAAAAGCAGGGGAAG